CTCCTCGGGGCAGAGCGGCCGCGGCGCGGAGCGGCCTGCACACCTCCTTCCGGACGGCGGCCTCGCAGGATCGCGGTTCAAAGCCAGCCCGGGCAGGAAACGCCGTGAGACTCTCATCAACGAACACCAGAAAACCGCAAGTGGCGCTGCGGCTCCAGTGGTAGAGCGCTCGCCTTGCATGCCTGAGGCCCTGGGTTCGATTCCTCAGCACCACATAAGCAGAAACAGCTAGCTGGAAGTGGCGCTGTGACTCGAGCGGTAGAGCGCTCGCCTTGAGCTGCGGAGCTGAGGGCAGCGCCCAGGCCGAGTTCAGGCCCCACGACCGACCAGAGCGACGGGGAGGGGGGAGAGATGCCCGACCCACACACAGCACCAGGCAGACGGAGCTCCTGCGCCGCGCGTGCCCCGCCGTGGGAGTCGCTTGGGGGACATAGCGAAGAGAGGTTAGACGGTAAGCACGACGCTCGGGCCTGTTGAAGACGGCCCCGGGCTTGCCGACCTGCTAGAAGTGCTCACAGGCTCTTTGTTACTGGACCCTGCTGGCCTCCGGGAGACGGAGGGCAGTCGTCCAAAGTTGAAGTTGCCCCGTGGGTGGAAGATGGGTGATGACAGATTCGTGGGTGGAAGATGGGTGACAGTGGCTTGTGGCCAAATGAGCAAATCTGATCCTAATCAGCTTGTCAGGAGAGACTTTTCAATTCAGGAATTGTCAGTTCTGGAAATCTTAAGGCTCATTATTAGTCATAAGACACTTATCATTTCTGCAGATCAGAAGCAGATGAGGGGGAAATAGAAAGTAGCTGCTGTTAACTCGTGTAGTTTTTAAATTTTTATTTTTATTGTTATTATAAAGGTGATGTTCAGAGGAGTTAGTTATGTAAGTCAGATAGTTTTTTTTGGGGGGGGTCAGTCATGGGGCTTGAACTCTGGGACTGAGCGCTGTCCCTCAGCTCTTCAGCTCAAGGCCAGTGGTATATCACTTGAGCCACAGCATCACTTCTGGTTTTCTGGTGGTTTATTGAAGATCAGAGTCTCACAGCATTTCCTGATCAGGCTGGCTTTGAACCGTGATCCTCAGATCTCAGCCTCCTCAGTAGCTAGATCGACAGGCGTGAACCACAGGTGCCCTGCTAATGAGTAATTTCTTTGTGGACAATGTCACCCCTTCCCTTGCTTTCTCCCAGCTTTTCTCTCCCATCCCAACCTACAAGTTGTATAGTTTATTGTCAACATAGTGTCTAGTGAGTACCACTGGATAGTTGTTTAATTAGCATACATTAGTTACAGGAGGAATTTCATTAGGATATTTTCATCCATGTATACAATGTATTCCAACCAATCTTTATCATGTTCCCTACTCTACTTTCACTTTCTTTTTTGGGTCCAGTCATGGGGCCTGAACTCTGGGCCTGGGCGCTGTCCCTCAGCTCTTCAGCTCAAGGCTAGCACTCTACCACTTGAGCC